TATGAGACGAGAGTACTCTTATTTTTGATGTTCAATTACTAGATCTAGATCTAAAAATTAAATTATGTGTTACATAGGTAAGGAGTTGAAAAAAAAGACTTTACTTTACCTTACGTCTTCTAGCTACTTTACAAAACAACTTTAAAAAAAATTTTAACAACATTTTTTGTAGTGTTACAAAGCTCCATGTCCAGTCTAGATATAGTTAAGTCTATGATATTGGCATATAATTGAGTTACTTCTATTTCCTGTTGCCAGGGCGCCCTGTCACTGTGTTATTTGGCCTCGTCAGATATCTATGCCCTTATCAACTACGTAGGCTTTGCTACATGGCTGTCTATCGGCATGGCTGTGGTAGTGTTGTTATACTTAAGATGGAAGAGACCCAATATGCACAGGCCTATTAAAGTAAGTTTAAATTCTTTAATCATAGTTTAACGGTAGAATCTATTATTGAAAGACTTTTATCAAATTTGCTTTTCAAGTTGAAACGAGACAGTGATTAGATTAGCGTATACCATTGTCATTGGAGCTTAATTGTTCTAGTTGTTACTTTTTTTTTTTCTTTTAATGTTAAATTCTTTAGTGATCCATAGTTGTTTGAACACAGAGAATTAGATCAAACATGATGTAGCTTCTACAATTATATAAGAAATACTTTTTAATAAAGACTTACGAGTCTTACATAGGACTTCAAATGTTTATTATTGGATAGTTTATATGGCAAAGAGCTCTTGTATTTAACCATAAAGTCATAGATGTACCTTTAACGCTTGACTATTTCAAACATGAAGTATTACTCATTGTGAAAAGTCATGAATTAGTAAATATATATTTTTTTTATCATAATATGAAATGTAAAAGAATTTTTTTAAAATTCCCTATATTTTCTGCAGGTTCACCTGGCCTGGCCAATTATTTACACTATTGTCACAATATATTTGGTTATTTTACCGCTGTATGCCAGCCCTATGGAGACAGGTTAGTAGTTATTTAATGTTTGATTTGTATTTACCATGATAACACCAGCTCATCAGCGCTCTTTGTTGTAGACAAAATGTTGGTTGAATTCTGCTGCTAGCTTTTTTTTTTTTGTCTGGGACAGAGTGCTCATCTATTGGGAGCTTATTTAATCATCAGGCATGTCTTTTCTGCCTGCAATCATCAGGCATATCTTTTCAGCTTACAATCATTAGGCATCTCTTTTTTTTACCTGTAATCGTCAGGCATTTCTTTTCTGCCTGCAATCATCAGACATATCTTTTCTGTCTACAATCGTCAGGCATCTATCTCTTTTCTGTATTAGTTTTCATTGCATAACAGCAGAAATGATATTATTTAACTTAACATACAATAAACAGTGTAAAAATAGATGATTATTTCAGCTGTTAGGCTAAAATTTTATTGCAAGTTGTCCTTGTAAAACACTGTATGTGATATCATATGATTTCATCTCAATGTTTAGGTATTGGAGTGGCTATCATCTGTACTGGCATACCTGTCTACTTCATTTTTGTTGCATGGTCATCCAAGCCCAAGGTGTTCACCAATTTCATGGGTAAGCATTCTTTACTTGAAATATAACAAGGCCAGTATTCTAGTTCAAATATCATAAGGCCAGTATTCTTCTAGTTGACATATTATAAGGCCAGTATTTGACCAAAACTGGCATGTTTCTGATCATAGTTGCTAATCCTTGATTACTTTATACATGTTACAATGCACTGGTCATTTTATTCATTTCTGTATAAAGATATAATCATATCATTGTGGAATCACTATATTCAGTTTTACACTAATTAATAAATTAAATCTCAGCTGAATGTCAAATATAAATAAAGACAATACAAACATTGAGGGATACTCCAGTCTACACTGTGTAAACTTGGTCTAATTAATGCTTGTATATTGTCAGCAATGAAAGTATGTACATGAGTTGTAGACTACTTCAGTGTTGAATCTCTAAATAAATTGAATAATGGGTTACCTGAATCTGTCAGGAAAAACAATTAGTAGAGTTGAAGCCTCTAATTAACATGCATGACCAGATTAACACATGATATGTTTAAGATATAATTATATTTTAAAAAAGATACAGAAGCACATTTTTATGATATAAAATATTTTATCTATAAATTAAATAAATTTTTTTTTGTTCCAGACAAAATGACGATATTTCTACAGAGATTTCTCATGGTGGTGCCGGAGGAGAAGAAAGTGGAATAATTTTTTGTTGTTGTGCTGTAGACATAATTAGTCAATGGATATCGTAGAGATCAAGAAAAACATCAAGAAATACACTAAATAACTCGACGAACTTGTTAGCAAAAGAAAACAAGTTTTGGCACAATGGCCAGCATTCAGAATCAAATGTTGGCAAAATAAATAGATTTTTTAAATTACAATACAAGGAGGGTCGATATCTAAAGTAGAAAGAAAGTATAGAATAACAAAGTAACATGGATAATTTAAGAAATTATTTTTTTCTAGATAAACCTTTTAATGGTATTTATTTCTTAAGGGTATGGTACTGAGTATGACGCACAACTCAGGGCCCTATTAAGGAAGTTAGTTCAAGCTGTAGGACTAGGAATGAAGAGGCTTTGCGCACTACAGGGTGGAGCCGTAATGTCCAAGTATAGTGTAAAATGAGATGAAAGGAAGGAAGTGGATCTGTCAATTTGTTCAGGCTATTACTACGAGTACATCTCAACTGACAATTACTTTCATGTTTTATTTCATTCAAATTTCTTCTACTTTTGCTAATTACAGTCAGATATTGCATTTTTATTTTTAGTGACAATGTAGTTTGAATTATATAAGGGTTCTTTTAGTGATTATTTATTGAGCTTATTTATGTCTTTAGTATAATAAAATATTTGATTTTCAGTTTTTGGGGCAATATATTTTAAGAATGTTTATAGTAAGTTTTCCTGTGCTCTATTATTGTGAGCAATATATTTTAATAAGTCTTTTATGTAAAAACTGTTGTTTTTTTTTCCACTGTTTCAATTTTTTAAAAAGCAAAGTCTCTATCTAGATATAAATAGCCTCAATGTTTAGAGGGAGACAAATAGATTTTATGCACTTACAATGGTTGTGATTTTAAAACAAGGATTTAAAAACATTGAAATCATTCAAGTCGTAGGAACAGGAGAACTCAATTTGTAGCATAAGTAGGAAACACTCTGGGACAACTAAGATTAGATCTAGATTCAGACAGTACAGCGATCTCTTCAAACAGATCTCTACAAAATTTGCATTTATATTTTGTCATTGCAATTTTTTCTGTAACGGTACCATTGTACTTTTTTGGCTAGAACATGGCTGCCCTATAAATATTTCTTCATCTTTGTTTAGGTTGTCTGTCTTATGCATTGAGGTCTTGTTTGACTTTTTATTTAGATTGAATTATTGTATTTCAAATTACATTTAATTAAGAAATTGTGTAAATTATTTTTTAAAATATGAATATATTGAATTTAAAGGAAACTCTGTTTATTATATTCTCTTTCATTTCATTTGATTCTACTTTCATTATATACCTAAACATCGACATTTTTGACTTGTTTACAAATGTTTTAGTGGTTTGGATGCATTATTTTGTTGAATATCATTTTTATCATTGATTCATTTACATTGGTTCTTAGTAAAAACATTTCTATTGGTCTGGAATGATTTTATTGTCTTTAAAAATTAATTTTAAACAATAGGTAATTATATTTTCATGTTGATTCTTGTGTACAAATACACCTAGACACTTTAACAGGAACTGAATCATTGGTTCTCTGTTTCTGACTCATTTAGTGACACAATGGATACACATGGTCATTTCATTTTGATTGGTTTAGGCAGCAGCAAACACTTTGATTGGCCAATGTGCTGGTGATAGCATAAGTCTTCTTCCTCGTTCTCATTCTTAAATGGTGGAGCGTTCAGATGACTAGACTTATTTAAGATAAACTGCGCAGCGGTTTTCAAATCAGGCTGCTCTCTATATAGTTTTCTTTCTATTGGGTGTATTGGGGCCAGTGTCTTGTTCGGGCTTCTTGGTAAAGAATGCAGATTTGAAGGACATGGTCAGCATTCTCTGGTAACACTCCACATGGGCAGATTTTACTGGTTCATAGCATGAGTGTCTTGGCTCTTGTGATGTCCTTGTAGACAACAGAACTTAAGCTATCATTCCAGTGCAGTTAGTATATTGCTTAGTCATTGAAGATAGAGTTGGACTATGTGCCAATCAGAAATGCAATTATTCTTTAAAGCTACTTCATGGAGAAACTATCACAGGCTTTAGTTTTTACATAGAGGACTAACATTAGCATATTTAATAATAGCCTTGTGGTGAAGTGCTTGAATGCCAAGAGTCTTGAGTTTGAGTTATAAGATTCAAGGATGCTTCAAAGTCTTTGCAGCTGTCATTGCTGCCTGACATTCAAACAAGAACTTAAGTTGTCAGTTCTGCTTGTGTAAAATCCCCATTGCATTGTTTTCATTACATAAAAACGCTACCATCAGATTACATCATTTATCTGGAGATGTAGACATTTACATCTGTGACAATAAGGTGCAACTTTTCACTATTGAAAGGCTCATGCATTATAAATTAACTATTGTCTCCCCTAGTCAGCTAGATATCTTGCAATTTTAAAAAAAATTCTTTTTGAGCTTAATTCAAACATGTCAGTATTCTATTTATTTCATTCCCTTCAACAACATTAATTATTCAACAACATTAATTAATTAAGTCTTTGAAGAATGAATATTAGAAATAATTTTAATTAAGAAAAAAAATCTAGTATTTCTAATTGTAAGTATTTATCAAATTCTTGTATTGTTGTTGGTTTTTTTTTTAAAGGAAAAAAGAAAACGCCATGTCATTTCTCAACATTTGACCTGTCATTGGTTTAGTTTCTACACCAACCAATCAGTTGTCAAACGTGTGTCCAATGTATTTTTGTTGCTGTTTCTACCTCCGCGTTTTATTGGTTTTTAATGTGACACGCAAAACTAATCTATTTATTAAACAACTCAAAATAATGCTAACAAACACTTGTAATAATTCTGATTGAAACAGATTATCTTCTACTTCTCTTATCTTATCATCTGTTTTGAAAGAGATGAGAATATGGTTGAAGGGCTAAGTATGGCGCTCCAAAGAGCCAGATGTCAACACTGCCATTGTTACTCCTGCACTTAATATTCTTCAGTTGACTAGATTAGGGGAAATGGAGTTGTCCCCCGTTCTATCCCTAGCAACCGTTGTGAAATGTACGACACAGGAACGGGTAAACTTTATATGTGACATCATTATTTTCTATTTGATCTTAAATTTGAATTTTAATCATAGATTTGAAACATTAAGATAAAAAAATAAAAATAAAATCAATTAAACCCAGACATATTTAAGTGTGCGTATGAATTGAAAAATCCTGTATGAAAGTTTTTTGTTTTCTTTGGTCTTGCTGATTGTCTAAGTTTTAATCAACTTAAAGCTTTTTTGTAAAAAATGTTACAAATCTGTTGTTCTTGTCTTTTTTTTTTTTTTTAAACTTCTTATTGAGCTGTAGTCATAATTATTTAAACATTGAAATGCATCTTAATAAAAATATTTTCCAATGTTAAATATTATAACTAAAAGAGATTTTGATTTGAGATTGGCCTTGAAGATTTTGTCCAGTGAACACATAATAGCCATCATCTTCTCTGGTCACTATCAGCCCATGTTAGTAGTGACGTTGCCAAAGTTATCACACTGAGTTCCCCCACACACAATATTTCTTGTCATGTTTTTGTTTCCATACATGTGAACTGCGACATAGGTTCATTTCTAATTTGCTAACATTACTTATTGGCATTAGCAAACATTTCTGCTATAAAATGAGCATGCATTTCTCATCATTTATGTACTTGTGTTTGAAAAACTTCCCATTCTACTATTACTTTGTGTGGGTTTTGGCATAATGCACATTCATTTTAATAACATATCTATTGACTAAATACCCCCCCCCCCCCCCCCCCATGACCCATTTTTGTATGAGTGTATTATATAGATATGTGGTTTTAGAGTGTAGATTTTTGTTTTCCGTTCATTATTAATTGCTCCTCTTATACCATTTTCTTCCTTACTTGTATTAAAGCTTGGGATTTGTTTCAATGTACATTCGCTTATCATTTTACTTCTGGAACATTCAACTTGGTACACACATATAGTCATTGTCATCATTGTTGGAACTGACTTCTAGGGGTTTTTTTGTTGGAACTGACTCCTAGGTTCTTGGTTTTTCTTCTGAACTGGTTCTGCTTCTTTGTTGTTAACCAAATTGTTAGTTCTAGCTCTATGTATGTACTGTAGTCACTGTAAGGTTTTCAACTTTAAATGCTTTTATTTTGACATGTTTTGTGTGGCCTACTATTAGATACCTGACTGTAAAAAGAAATTCTATACATGTACTAAGGAGAGGTCTCTGTGTGTGTGTTTGGACATTGGGATTGAAGATATTTTATCTTAAGAGAAATGCTTTGAAAATGTACTAATGCAAGGGAGATAAGTTGAAATAAAAACTGTAGAGTACCAAACATTGTTGTTTATTAAAAGAAGAAATTTTAATACTGAATCTTTGCATTGATCTCTTTGTCCAGTGCTTTAATGTTGTTTGTTAATTTCCTAGCTAATTACAATTATAACAAGGTTACAAAGACAGTTTGTGTGGAAACACAAACTCAAAATCGGCTCCCAAAGTGGTCCACCTAGGCAGGTATCAATATTTTCAGCAAGAACATCAGAATTAAATTCTATCAAAGACAAATCTCGCAGGAGAAAGAAGGTGACAGATCTTGTGTGTTGCCCCAGCAGACCAAAGGATAGGTGAAAGGGAATTTGCAGCAGTATGCAAACCTGACATAACTGATGTCTTATAATGAATATCTAATTGTTTTGTAAAGGGCCAATCTCTTCTTGAAATCCTAAAAAAAAACCCATTACCATTCCTTTAGTTAAGTGTCCTTCGGCAGAGTTTCATAACTGCAGTTCTCGTGATAATAAGAAAACCTACTTATTAATTGTTGTTTTAAATTATGTCCAACTTATATGTATACTAAATAGATTTTTTTCTCTTAAAAAAAGTAAACATATTTTTGGGGTAAATGTAGTAGTTAGTAGAACAGAACTTACAAAACGTAGCAATACAAATGAAAAAAAAAAAATTTCCAACAAATAGTCTTAAAAACCATTTGCATAAATGTGTTTAGAATATGGTAAATTGCAATCTCCCCTACTAAAAAGCCTCCCGTGTTTGTTACTATAAATAGTGAATAGTTGTAAAAGTGGTGTATTTTTATGAAAAAACTGCTTGCATAAGTAATTTAAAAAATTAGATTTTTCGCTTTTAGAAAAGAAAAAAGTAGCTGTATCAGAAATATGATTGGACTAAAATATTAGCATGTCGGATTTTCACTATCTTTTCTAGTTTATGAGATCTATACGGGACGGATAGACATTTCACACAAAATTAATTGCGTCTTTTCCCCTTTCGGGGGCCGCCTAAAATATCGCTGCTGGTACACTATTAAAAGCTTGAACATTTTAGAAGCTAAATACTGAGACTGACAAGACAATCAGGTCTCTGCTGTGGCAGATGTTCAATGATATAATTGATTATCAGAAGAGAACAGAATTTTTCTGTTGTCCCTCATCTGGCATTAAGTCTGGAGATTTAATAACCTATCTATTCCATTATTTGAGCAGCAATCAACACATGGGAGTTATTTATATCCTACTGATTAAGGCCACCGCAGAACTGCACATTTTCATGCACACAGTTTTCTGGAGATTGTGAGTCACAGCTTGCAGAGATTGGTGTGCTGCAGCCTCCTGAAAAAGTGATGTACATTTTCTCTGAATGTTTGAGGACCCAACTGAAGACGAATGCATATAACTTTCCTGAACTATTTTTTTGTCTATTAGTTCTGTATAAGTAACTAACAAAGTTATGATTGTATTTTTTTTTTTATTAACTACACATTTTGCATGTTTCATTTCTGGAACACCAGGTCAATCACATAACAGCAGGACTAATATCACCTTTTCCTTTTACATCTGTAGAATCCCTCTGAAAAATGCTCAGAGAACAGATGCACATCATGTAGCCTAATTGTTAGTGCTGTCATGACGACGTGATAGCTTTGAAATTATATTTTATAACTTGCAAGATTTTTTCTTATTTGCGACATCTCATAAAAGAATCCAATGCATAAAATTTGTTTCAAATGAAACATATTTGCACTTTGATAAATCCATGGTTCCTTATTTGGGTCATCATGGGTGCCAACAATTTATTTGCTATTAGCCCATTCAGTTCAGCTTCAAGTTTTGTTGTAGTGACACTCATCAGGGGTTATATTTGCTGATTTTTGTCTGAGCAAGGAATACAGTGTCAATGCATCTCATGTCTTGCAGCTTTGGGAAGCCACTTGTGCAGGCACAATATGGACAATGCTATCTTTTCCACCAGCATCATAATTTTGTTGAATATGCTCAGTTCAATGGTGCAAATGTATTGGGAAAGGATGGCATTGACATCAGATGTAACATAGGTAGTGTTCAAGAAACTAGAGGCATTTTTAATTGATGGCAAAGGCAATAGTGTATGCAGATGGTATATAGTTGGAGTGCCATGGTCATCCTGCTGCAGAAATGGAAGACCTCAGCACCAGAACATTGATTCATGTTATGATGGCCTGAAACACGGGATAGTCAAACAGGAAAAACACAAGAATGCTCAAGGTCAATATGAACACATTAGGAAATGAAAAAATGTAATGTCAAACATTGAAAAGCTCTGCAGCAAATGTAATACCTTTATGTTAGAGTAGTGAATTTTTTTTAGTGTTCCAATGTAAGTACATTTCATAACTCAATAATGTACAATATAATCCAGTTTTTTTTTTCTCTTCACATTTTGTATCTTTTTTTTTTTTTAACATAAGTGAATTTCATACAAAAAATTTAAAAAATTGCATTCTCTGCATAAGAGGGTTAATGCTATGTAGTGACTGTCTAATGATTAACTAATGTTTCTGCCCAGTATGAGACTCATACTATGAGTAGATAACTTCTGATAACTTAAGTCATTGAGTAACAAGCATGACTAGATTGACCTAGGAACATGTGTAGGACATAATCATCTTTTTAAAGTAACGGCTGTATTTTTATAACATGGAAGAAGTAGTGATGATAGCCATAGCAGCTTCTGGAAAAAGAGGGTTGAGTTATTTATCTAATTCTTAATTTTCATCTCCTAAAAGTAGTTCTAAGAATTGTTTTGATAAGACATTTTGTTTCAAGGACAACACAGGAACACAGCAACTACATAATGTGAGTAGCTAAACTAGTTTATTTCAATTTGGATTTACATAAAAAAAACTTTACAAAGCCACAGGCTTTCATTAACCACTTCTAGTTTCTGTCATGTATTATTCTGATAAAAAAAATTATGGCATTACATTATTTGTATACATTTTTTTTTATACAATTACAAAGATATTCTATACATGTATTTACATTGTATAAACAAACTTAAAAATCACGAGAATACAATGGGCTAGAAGACTCTTGCATAGTTTCATGCATTCAAATTACTTTCAAATACCTCAAAGTTATTTTATTTCTGACCTGAACAATGTCAAATGGCAGTCCAGATGTTAAGTATTTGATTTATAAAGGAGGGCAATGTATCGAACACTCCAAATCAACTTTCCTGCAGTCAACTCAGACCACATCATCATGCCTGATATTTAAATTCTAACCTATACCACAGTATCATCACTCAGAGGGTTGACTCCGGCAAGTAAATAATTTTTAAAACATTAAAAATAATAAACGCTACTCAAATAACACCACCCAAAAAAAAAAAAAATTCCTTTCCTACCATTTCAATGATAACATAAACTAATGGTAAATGAATAGAATGTACATGTTGAGCTCCTCACAAAGACTTTTACCAAGGAGCAGACGCAGGGAAAAATAAAAAAGCAAAAGGAAGTGGTGTGAAGACAAGTATAGGAGATAATCCTTGCTAAAGACAGAAGGTTAAACAGATAAAGGGACAGGCGAAGGTGAAAAAATCATTCCATGCCTTTGAATTGGCCAACATGATAGGAGAAAGAAGCTTATCTTGTTTCTGTAAACAAACTTTAAGTTCATATTAACAAGCAACAATTATAAGATTTACAAAAAAATATCTACAGAACAAACTTTATATGACAATTTTTATTTTGACATCCCGTTCATTCAAAGTTTATTTCTAATTTTAATGACCCGAGGCTTTCAACGGATAGAGTCAAACTAATCCAAGATTAATGAAACATGAATAGCTCAAGCCCCCAATGAAACTCCACATCTGGCATCCAACAGATTTGGCATTCTGGATATTTAGCTAAAGTGCATTATTTACATGACTTTTATCCTTCCAGTGTTACAATACAAATCTACAAATATGTTTAATCCTTGAGAATTCTGCGCACTAATTCTTTGGGATCACGGCACACATCATCACTGAGGACTTGTGGTAGGTCTTGATCAAAAACATGAGCTGGGGATGTAGTGAAAACAAACTTAAAGCGGATTACACAATAAATTACTAAAGTGACCATTATGAACTGGTAACTGGGTATCAGATTGTATTGAAAAACCAAATCACAAAAATCCTACAAGATTTGTTATCTATAGCAAGAAAGTTTTTCTTTTTTTTTTTTTAACTAGCTGTAAACAAAACTTGTTCATTTACTATATTGGTCACCGCACTGACCAGTTTCGTGTTTTTTATGAGCCACCAAAGAATCAATGCCTAGACAAATCAATGTACACAGCATAGGTACAAATAAGATGTTCATTTCTCTAACTTAACAATCCAACAACCAATGTACCTTGCCCTTTTAACTCGACCCCCCTGCAGCTCAAGAAGCACTTACTTCCTGCAACTAAGTGCACTAAGCTTCAGCAGCTCTTGCAATGAACTGTA